TGTTCATGGGAGGAGGGGGGGATGTGGCAAGGGAGCTGGCGCCTGCAGTTCCTATTCTTGGCCCCGGTTCACAGTGTCCTGGAGGGTCACTCCCACGTCCCCGCTCAGCTCCTTGCCTCTTCATTTAGCTTTGGGGGTACAGGGAACTCAAGGTTGAAAGCTGTGGTGGAGCCATGACTAACATTGAGGACATAAACGTAGAACATAACCCATAAAGTATTGGGGATTACCTTTGGCAGTGAGGGTCCACGCAGATCTCTCTCTGCTTACCTCTGGCCTTTTTTTTTTTTTTTAAATTTAAAACCCTTTTCAATGACAGTTAACAATAACTTACTCTCTGATTCCCCTGCTAAGTCTGGTACCCACCTGGCACCATCAGATTATTCTGTACATTTATGGGTTTGTTTCTGTTTTGTTTGTTTTGTTTTTAGATTTCACATATGAAATGATAGAGTGTCTGTCTTTGTCTTCTTTCACGTAGCATAATAACTTTAGGTTCATTCTTGTTGTTGCAAATGGTAAAATCTCATAATGGCTATCATCAATAAATCAATAAACAAAAGTGTTGGCAAGGATGTGGAGAAAAAGAAACCCTCATGCACAGTTGGTGGGATTGCAAATTGGTGAAGTCACTATGGAACACAGTGTAGAGGTTTCTTAAAAATTAAAACTACCATATGACCCAGCAATCCCACTTCTGGATATGTATCTGAAGAAATCTAAAATATTAATTTAAAAAGATATATGCACCCCTATGTTCATTGTGGCATTATTTACAATAGCCAAGATATGGAAGCAGCCTAAGTGTCCATCGATAGATGATCAGATAACACAATGATACATAAATGCAGTGGAATATTACTTGGCCATAAAAAGAATAAAACCTCTGGACTTCTTCATGTGACCAAGGAAATCTTTAACTCCTATGATCAAGACTTTTATATGTTAAAATTTCTGACCAAGAGAATGGACACCCACTGAAAAACTGGTCCTTTCATACTCTGCCTATTGAAGACTTAGTTGTATTTAAAGTATTTAATGTGCTTACTCTGGTGTCTGCCACATGGTGGGTGCACAGGAGTATTAGTTACTATTATTCATCTTGGTTTACATTTTTGACAGTCCAGCGCTCCCGCAGGCGGGACCCGGAGACACCATGCTTGTGCTTGTGGCCTTGCAGTCAGTGTGACAGTCATATCAACATGAAAGTGGGCCCAATATTCACATACGGGATAGGTACGCGCAGTAGCAGTGGAGTTGCTTCATTATAGGATTCTTGTGCATTGAGGTTGGTGCCCAGGTGTGGCTGTCTCCTCATCTCCTGGCCTTCCACTAGAAGGAGGAAGAAAGTGAGAAGGGAACCTGTGCCCAGATTTGTAGAGATCATGAGAACATAGCTGTTTAACAATTTTTCTGCTGCGCAGACAGGTTTCTAGGCTGCTGAGAGAGCACAGGGGAGAGACGCTGAATGGCTGGTAGAAATATTTGAGAATCATGGAACGTTAGAAGAGTTTCAAATGACTGGCAAAGGATCTCATTTTCTGAAGAAGATACTTTTTGATCCTTGGATTATAAGTTTTATTTCATTTTTTCATAAGAGTATAGAATAGATTTTTAAAAAGATGGTTTGTGGGCATCTGCGGAGGAAGCACACACCCTGATAAGTTCCATCTCTCCAAATTTCACGAAGAGCAGGCAGGCCAGATGGAGGCCATCTCTGGTTGGGTCGCTCAGGAGGTCATGCATTTGCATCTCAGCCAAGAGTCCTAATACACATCGATTTTTAATTTATTTTAGTTCCTGTTGTGTGTCAAGTACTATAAGAAGCACTGGGGATGACTGAGCTAAAAGATTTCAGTTTTATGATGTAAAAGTATTGCATTGTATTTTTTCTCAAATAGGGGCACATGCTTGAATGGTTGGAAATAATTAGATAGATCACATTAATAACTGGTTTAATATACATTTTTAATAATGATGCTTATACATTTTAGGATATGGTGAGAAAATCTTAGTCATTGATGAGTCTAGTCCAGAAGATTATATATATATAGTGTGTGTGTGTGTGACAAAGACAAAAATTGAGATGAATTGTAACAATAACAAAGTTTTATAGAGGTTGTAATGATGGCCTTCTGGCACCAGATACATTCTCCTGCTCACCTCACACGTCTCCCAGGATTAGTGTGATGTGTATGTATTAATATGAAATCTCATACATTTTTATGACAAACCATTGAGATAGAAATAAAATAAATAAAAATCTTCCTAAAAAGATTCTCCTTTCTCTCCCAACAGCAAAGATGTCACCTACCACCACACTGCACAACCACCAACACGTCACACTAATCCTGGGAGAGGTGTGAGGTGAGAGGAGAATGTGTCTGGGGCCAGAAGGCCAGCATTACAACCCCTATGTACTGAACTCTAAGGAACCATTTCTGTCACCGAGCTCAGGAACTCCTCAAGGTCAAGGACTGTGTAGTGTAACCTTAAAATCTGATAAAGGCCTGGGCCCTCACAAGTTCTCAAAAGCACTTTTTGCAAATTTATTCCCCCCCCCCAAAAAAAACACCTTAACTTGATCTGATATTGCATTAATTATAGAATAGCATTTATATTCATTTCCTATTGCTGGTATATCAAATTAACACAAAGATAGTGGCTTATAACACAAACTTAAGACCCTGTACGTCCAAATGTCAGAAATCCCCCAAATTGAGATGTTGGCATTCCTTCCTGAGGCTCTCGGGGAAAAGCTGTCTTCTCTCCTCTTCCAGCTTCTAGAAGCCCCACATTCCTTGGCTGTGGCCTCCTTCCCCCTCTTTAAAATAGCAACTCTCTGACCCTTTCTGATTACATTTCTTTCTCCAACCATTCTGTCTGGAAAGATTGTCTTCTTTAAAAAAAATTGATTTCAGAGAGAGGAAGGGAGAGGGATAGAAACATCACTGATGAGAATCATTGATTGGCTGTCTCCTGCATGCCCCCTGCTGGGGATTCAGCCCACAACCCAGGCATGTGCCCTGACGGGGAGTGGAACCGTGACCTCCTGGTTCACAGGCTGATGCTCAACCACTGGGCCACACCGGCCAGGCAGATTGTCTTCTTTTAAGGATTCATGCATTTAGACGGGGCCTACCTGGATGGCCCAGGACATTACATAGAAGGAATCATGGTCACGGATTATGTGACTGTGTTTAGGATCAGCGTTTGGACACCTTTGGGAGGCTGTTCCACAGCATCCAAATAAGGAAAGTGGTGGTATGAAGGCCATAGACTGTACTCAGGATATTTCACTCTGTTCACTTCGATTTTGAAAGTTGTAGCAAAGAAGCAGAGCAGCAAGGAAATTTGGAGTTGTGTCGATCTAAGGGATGCTTAAAGGAGCAGGATGTTTGCTTTAGAAGAAAAAAAGACCTATATTTAGGGGAGGCATGGGCGTTGCACTTGTAGGAGGCATGAGATGATTACTTCCTCAAAATATCAGGAAGTCCTGTCATGGGCAATCAGAGGACAGAATAGGGGCAATTAACTTTAGGGAAACAGCTTTTGGCAGATTTAAGGCAGAGCTGTGTGGAAACTACTGATGTCCTAAATCCGACATGCTGGAAATGGCATGGCTTGATGACGTGGGGAGTCTTTTAGAGGAGATTTGGGTATTAGATGAGGGATCAGCTGAGATGAACTCTCAAATTCCATTTAACCTTCACAGTCACTGGTTCTGTGACTTAGAATTCCATTCGTGATCTCTGAGCACCTCCAGTCGCATATAGCTGGAGCTGGCCAAGGCCCCACATCCTTACTGAGGAGTCATCTTACCAAATATATACCCAAAGATGCCAAACAGGAGTGGTGAAGGAAGCCAGTATAATTCAGATGCCTCTTAGAAGATGCAGTGCCTCGTTACTATTGAGAATATAAAAAATATAAAACCACTAGCCATAGGGACAGTACAAGTTTAAAAATGTTATACAAATAGCATATTCAGACATGAAAAGAAAACAAACAAACCATAGAGACAAGGCATGAAGAAAGTGTAGTTCATTGCTATTAGGTGGCTTGTATGACTCATCTTTTGAGGAAATTGAATACTTATAATGAAGAAGGCTAAAGAAAGAGAGGACCAGATCCTTTTGTTCTAATCCAGAAAACATATTTTTGAGAATTCTTTTTCATCAGTCCACTTTGGGGATGATTATTTGAAATGACTTGTATGAGATCTGGGAGCTGCTGTGGAAAATGCTGTTTTTATGTCAATACTATGTGCTGCATAGAAGTACATCTTATTTTATTTTCCATCAGCATTTATCCCCCTCTTTCACCTCTACCCACCCCACTCCTTTCTCCAATCACCACACTGTTGTCTGTGTCCATGAGTTCTTTCTCTTTCTCTTTTGTTCAATCCCTCCATCCACCCCTTAACACCCATTCCCCCAGAGCTGTTTGTCCACTCTCTATCTATGAGTACATTTTAATACTTTAAACGGTTTATGTTACCATATTCTTGGATCTTTTAAGTACACATCTAAATGTCTAGGTTATAAACCTGAACTGTATTCAGTTTTATGTTAGACCATTTGACCCACAAATTATTTTCTATCCCCAAAATATCCAAAATGAATTAAGAAATTAATTACAACTTCAGTTGTATTCAAGAGAAGTCTTTGTGTTTCTTTATAGCTGTTATAGCTCTTCAAAGAGAGTCTTAAGTGTCGTTGGGGTTGTAATGGCCACTCAACACTAAGAGGAGCTTGTCAGACACTTAGGACTGGGCCAATACTGTCAAGGACTGTGCCATTCCATCTTCCTTCCACTCCTATGGATTACCCAGCACCAATAATGACCATTCCAGCTCATGACACCCCTCTCTACAGTCAGGGGAAGGTCAGCTATTTTTTGATTCCCATGGGAGAGAGAGAGCTCCTCAATCAGCTTCCCAAAATAGCTGGCCATTCTCAGCTGCTGGGCTGGAGTCCCTCCAGGGTGAGCAAAGGGAATACAATCCACCGGCTGGTTGTGAGTGAGAAGCCACCAAAACATGAGCTAGGAGAGGCTTCTCAAGACGATTCTGCCTTCTCAGAAATCTTTATTCTTTTTTTTGTTGAGCAGCTAGGTGTTTGCCATTTTTAAATTTCTTGTTTTGTTTAAAGGGAAACCAGTGAGTTGAAAATGAGACTAAACATCGCCATCTTCTTTGGGGCTCTCTTTGGTGCTTTAGGGGTTTTACTCTTTTTGGTGGCATTTGGATCGGACTATTGGCTTCTTGTGACCGAAGTGGGGAAGTGTTCAGGTGAACAGAATGTGCGTTTCTTTTTCCAACTATTCGTGTATTTGGTGAGGATAGCCTTTTGATTTCTCTTGAAATCGGAGAATAGTAGGGAAGTGTCTATTTCTTCATAGAAGAGATGTGTAGAAAAGAAAGCTACTGACCATCATTATTGAAATGAAATTTATTGTTTACAAAGTTCCCTGGACGTGAGAATTCAGATTGTGTTCCTTGTGTCCCGTTTGTGTTCTGTGCAGATAGAGAACGTGACTTTCCACCACGAGGGGTTCTTCTGGAGATGCTGGTTCAATGGGATTGCGGAAGAAAACCAGCCGGATCTCTGGAAGTTCTGGTACGGTAAGTGCGCTTTTGTTTTACCTTCTCCTTTGTCTTTAAAATGAAAACGAGCAGCTTCTTATTTAGTACATACATGTCATTAACAAAATAGGATTGGATTCTTAGTTGTAGAATTTCAATAGGTATCTTCAAAAGGTTCAGTAGGAAGAAATGGCTATAGCAATCATTATTTTATTCCAACATATAAATAGTTTAGATCTTTATCTGCTGTTCCCTTGTTCATATTTATAATACACCAACCCTAACTAACAAAGAGGTATCATTTATAGTATTTTTGAGTGTCCTTTGTTATATTGCAGATAAAAGTCTTTCTTTTTAAAAATATCCAGAAGTAGAAATGTATTCTTTTAAAAGTTAAAAAAACCTCTTTTTAAATAATGAAACTTAATTACCACCTCTGGCAGATGAAAGTTTGCTCAATTTGGGCTTCAACCAGTTTTGTGGGCAATAGCAAGAAATGCCTTATTTTTGATGTTTGAATTCTCTCATAAAAACGTTAAGGTTTTTTTTGAAGTTGAGCAGCCTCTTAAAAACGTGATGCATTCTTTCAACTTTATTCCTTATATTGTATTAATCTTCAAAAATAAATTTACTGAAAACAGTTAGCCTTTATCTTATTGCATCAAACAAAGAAAAGAACTGTCTATTACCCTAAAGCTTATTGTGGGTTGAAATTATTAGTCTCCTTATGAAATATTACTGTGATAAACCCAAGTATGATATTTACACAAGATGATGGAATAGATAATAAAAATATGTGGAAGACTTAAGCAAGCTGATAGCAAGTCAGCATATGTAAAAGGAACAGCATGGGTAAATGGCATTTTGAGAGAAAGATTTGATAGACTATCTTATAGTCATGTCAGGGAGGAAAATAAGCATGCAGTGTGTCAAAAATTATTTAGACTGCAGTCAAATGGAGCGCATAAGACTGTGCAAGAAGAAGATTTTGCCAAGGACTTAGAGAAAGGAAGAGTATTCCACCCCCTCCCCCCTTAAAATGTACACAATGAAGTCTTCAAGTTTTCAAGCATAAAAGTTCTTTCTTGTGGTTTCTTCAAATGCTAGAAATGTATTTGAATTATTAAGTCACGTGATCTATTATTTCCATCTTTTCCCTAGAAACAAGTTATAGAATAAATTTTATATTGATTGGAACTGATCAAGGTTAAATCTAAGCTTTTTAGACTTTCATAACAAGTATTTTTTTAAACAACTATGTGCTAGGCATTATGTTAGGAACTGAAGATATGGCCCTGAAAATAAGTGAGCGGTAGTGCCTTTGACTTTAAGGTGATACAAGAAAGGCCTTGTCTGCATTGAATTATGTCGTGGGTCAGATGCTTGGGGTGCGTCCAGGCTCCAGGTTCCTTGTTCTTCTTTATATGAGATTTTTAGGAAGTCTCCCCGTTCACTCAGCAGTTCTCTGACTTTGTTGATCTCCCTACAGTTTTATTTAGCTGATATAACCCCAGACTCCCTATGTATCTTCTTTAGGAACGGTGCTCACTCAGGTGCTCAATACCATACCATTGTTCTGCTCTCCTTCCTAGGCAATCAGCCGGCATCCAAGACCTGCACACATGCTTACCTGTCGCCATACCCTTTCATGAGAGGCGAGCACAATGCCACCGCCTATGACTCTGCCGTCGGTAAGTACCTCTATCCACAGAGTGTCTTGGTGAAGACATGCTGCCTGGCGGATGCCACCACAGTGTTGTTGTGGGCTGTTACACATAATTTAACACCTTTGCATACAGAAGAATAGGATAGCATTTTTAACACTGTTTATAACCCTAATAGAATATAACGTTGGTCTAAAAGTTAAGCTACTATAATTTACTTGCCACTTATAAAGATAACTTTCTAAAAGTATGTTTTCTGGTATGGAAATAGTAATGTTTGTTAGGAAGAACTGTTTTGTAAGGGTTTGACTGAACTCTACAACAGAAAAAAAGAAAAAACTGTAGTGTGCACTCTGCTTTTAGAGCATTTTTTTTTTTGCAATTGCTACACACAAGAATCTGATTTTGTTACTGTATTCCTGCAAGGTGAATGCACTTGGTTACGTGTGACACCTGGAATAGCCAGGTGTCATTAACTGGGAGTTATGATCATCTAGCCTTGTGTGTGTGTGTGTTTTCATACTATTTGTTATATCAAAAGTAGATGAACATAGACTCTATGGAAAGTACATAATATGTAGTATGTAAATCTAGTTTTATAGAAAGTACATAAGCTCAATATGTCAACTTTATTCTCAGCTGGTTTCAAGTTTTAAATAAAGAGTGCTCATCCCAATCTTTACAAAAATGAAGGGTTGGTAGGTCATTTCAGAGAGAGCTTGTGGAACCAAAACCAGGAGCTCTTAACACTGTGACTAAGGATTGAAGTTCTCCATATGTAACTGTCACTCAAGAATACTGTGTTTTCCCGAGGAGATAAAAGATTTAATTGCTAATATCCATGACTCATGATGTTGGAAAATAAATAAATGTCTCTCAAGTTAAAAAACAAACAAACCAAAAACAAAAACTAAGAGTTGGTACAGAACTTGATAATGTCATAAAAAGAGCCAAAAATATTTGTTTTTCAAAGAGAATACATAATATATTTAATATTCTGAATAAACAAATATTAGTCAAGATTCTCTAGAGCAGCGGGTCTCAACCTGTGGGTCGCGACCCCTTTGGCGGTCCAACGACCCTTTCACAGGGGTCACCTAAGACCATCCTGCATATTAGATATTTATATTACGATTCATAACAGTAGCAACATTACAATTATGAAGTAGCAACGAAAATAATTTTATGGTTGGGTCACAACATGAGGAACTGTATTTAAAGGGCCAGAAGTTTGAGAACCACTGCAGAGAGTCCTAGCCGGTTTTGCTCAGTGGATAGAGCATCAGCCTGCGGACCGAAGGGTACCAAGTTTGATTTTGGTCAAGGGCAGGTACCTCGGTTGCAGGCTCCTCCCTGGCCTGGGCCCTGGTCAGGGCTCATGCAGGAGGCAACCAATTGATGTGTTTCTCTCACATCAATATTTCTCTTCCTCTCTCTTCCACTCTCTCTAAAAATCAATGGAAAAATATCCTCAGGTGAGGATTTAAAAAAAGAAAAGATTCTCCAGAGAATCAATATAAGAAAGAGATATTGAGGAAGGGACTTTAAGGACTTGGCTTATGCCATTGTAGATGGTGGCAAATCTGAAATCTGTAGGGCAAGCCGTAGGCTTGGAGAGTCAGATGAGTCAGTATTGCTGTCTTCAGTCTGAAGGCTGGAAACTCTGGTAAAATTTCTGTTTCAGCATTGAAGAGAATTTCTTCTTCAGAAAACCTCAGTCCTTGTTCTTAAAGCCTTCAACTGATTGGATGAGGCCCACCCTCATTATGGAGGATAATCTGCTTTACTTGTAGTCTACTGATTATAAATGGTAATCATATCTAGCTAGCACCTTTACAGCAACATCTAAACGAGTGTTTGACCAAACAACTGGGCATCATAGTCTAACCAAGATGACACATAAAATTAACCATCACAGAACTTCCATTATTCATCTATTTTTTATCTTTCTATAAAATTATGTATTTCCATACATTGTAATTTTTTTACAGTTTGTCAAAGGTTGTAGCATTTGGTGTTATCACAATATTAACATGACATTTTATGGAGTGGAGTGGGGTCTACATAAGAAAAGAGGCGAACTGGTCCACAGCTGTGCTTGTCCACCACGGTTGCTGGCCACAATATAGTTGAAAGGATTGTGACTGTTGGTCTAGCAAATGTGTGTGGCGTGGATACTCTTTCCCATTAAAAACTGCATGAGGTGCCTGGCCAGTGTGGCTCAGAGGGTTGGGCCTTGTCCTGTGAACCAAAAGATTGCCAGTTCAATTCCTGGTCAGGGCACATGCCCAGGTTATGGCCTGATCCCGGGTAGGGGTCGTGCAGGAGGTAGCTGAATGATGTTTCACTCTCACGTTGACTTTTCTCTTTCTCTCCCTCTTCCTTCTGGTCTCTCTAAAAAACAAACAAACAAAAACTGCATGAGGAATCTCATTCACATTTGTTGGAACCTCCTGCATCCTGTGTTATGTGGACCTTCTCACTGCTAAGAGAAGAGATGACGTAGAAAGGAGTAGAGTAAACCATTTTAAGTTACAAAAAGTTACAAAAAAGGCATTCCTTTCCCGACATTCTTACTTTTATTAAATAAACTAAGAAATAGTATTGGGTTGGTTTTCCAGAACATTATCTATTTGCACAAATAATTAGTATTGTTATTGTTGATATTTATATGTTGAGCTCCTGAGATGAGGTAGTATTGTAGGCATTATGTTTTAAAGTGAATCTACATAATTGAAAAGTCTGCCCCTTCAGAAGATAGTGGAGAACTTGAAAAACAGGTGACATAATCCATGCATAATAATTATGATGGAGATGGATAGTAAATGCATGTCAAAGTAATTATACTGCAATTACAATTAGAATTATTATGTAGCACTGCATATAATTACTGTGTCATTTTTTGGATCTAGTAACAAAACCATATTCCAATTTTTTAAAAAAATATCAAACTCCTCTTTGGCTCATTCACTTTAAGCAATTTTATCAAATACTTTCAGTAAAAAATGACTGAGATGGGAAGAGGTATGTCCTACAACTGAGACAGTATAATCACATATCATTTATCTTCATTATATCATTCAATATCTGACATCATATTTGGGTGATTTTTTATTAATTTCTTTATCCAAGATAAGGGCATGGATTTCATGAGGTTTCTACCTGCCTGCAAGAAGGGGTTCCCAGTCCCCGGGTCTTCACTGGACCTTCGTGTGCTTTATAACATCAGGCATTATACATGACCGTTTATCATTTGTAAAATCTGATCTATCCTATCTGGCAAATTATTGGTGAAATGGCCTTGTATTCTCCTGAGTTTTTACAGTTATAGTTAGCCAAACTGAAATCACTGAACACAATATAGGGGTGTATGATTTTTCTGGAAGGACTGCTTTAGAATCATTGGAGCTACTGATGAAGTTCTTCTATTTCCGAATATGGAGACTAAGACTGATTCAGAGAAACCACGTGACTATCTTGACAGCTGATCATTGCCAGAGCTGATCAAAGGTTCACGTGTCTGGACTTTGTATACTGGTAATCTTAGAAGCCATAGTGAATAAAAAGGCTAATTTTAATGCTTAACATTTTAAGTGTAAGTCTTTTAGTTTCATCTCAATGAAAGAATACATTAAACTCATGTTGGTTTTCCCTACCTTCCTCTCTGATCCTGACCTGTGTATAATCAAGTCTAATTCAGTGTTTCCTTTATTTTTTAATATCAAATATATTAACTAAAATTCATTTATGCTCAAATCTATTTATTTGAATGGCTGCCCAAGCCTACAGGGAGTGATCTAATTCTAAGTATTGTGTTTGAGGTAGGATTGTGTACTTGGAAGTCCGTTAGACAATTCCATTGCCTTTGATATCTGTCCAAATTTAGATTTTCTGATTTGTCTCATGCTTAAACTCAGTCACAGTTCATTTATCTAGTTTCATTTGATAATGGTGTGATGAACATAGATGCATTTTTTAGATAACTCAACCCCTGAATGAACTAATCATTTCTTTTGGATGTCCCCCTCCCCCTGCCCTGCCCCACCCCAACCTTTGACCACACCTCCACAACAGTCCTCGTTACACTTAACTTAATTTTGTTGTTAACCTCAGTTTCCTCCTTACCTATTGCAATCCCAAAGGCACAGACTGTAATCTCACATTTATATTCCCAGAAATTAATATAGTGCCTGGTGCTTAGTAGACGCTTAAATACTTGAAAAAAATGACAATGCAAAAATTACAGATAGTATTTTCAGCAGTTAACTATTTTGATTTTATTTTTTGAAGTGGAACATTTTAAAAACTAATTTCATTCTTGGCTTTTCTCTTGAGCAGAATATATTGGACCTAGTTTCATCTTTTCGTGCTGAGTTGGAACACACACGCAGGCTGGCCACCGTAACCTTGAGCTCCTCAGAAGCAGTGTTCATCCTCCTGCCCAAGGCCTTCGTGTGCCAGCCCTTCCCCCAAGTACCATTGCTCTCGTTGACCCTTCATTTCTCTAACAACGCAGGTTTGTCCTTAGTTTTCTAAGGAAGCCTTCCTTGCCAGCAGCCTCTACCCACTAATACTTGTACTAGACCAGTTCTCCTTTATAAAACTTATCTTTTATTTTGATCATTCATAGCACAAGTTTTAATTATTTATTGTGTAATTATTTTGTTCATTTATTTTCTTCTCAATTTAACTCTAAGCTCCTCTAAGCTCCTATAGCAAAGTCTTATGTTTGGCTCACCATTCTATCCAGTGAAGGCTGCATATTTTTGTAGAGTGACTATTTCTTGGGAGTCTTCATTACTATACTGTACTGTGGAACTAGTAGTAATACCCTAAGTCAGTGGTCGGCAAACTGCGGCTCGCGAGCCACATGTGGCTCTTTGGCCTCTTGAGTGTGGCTTTTCCACAAAATACCACGTGCGGGAGCGCATGTACAGTGCGAAGTTGACTTAAAACTGTAAGTAAAGTTTATTAAGTTAATTTTAGGGAACATTGGGGAGTGAAAGAAGATGTAGTGTCGAGGATTGAGAAAGGTATGTTGAGATGGTTTGGACATATAGAGAGGATGAAAGAAAGGAGATAGACGAAACAAGTATACAAGATGAGTGTGGATGGGAGAGTTGGAAGGGGTTGACCTCAGTGAATGTACCTCAATCAGATTGAGGACGTTTTTAGCAAAGGCCAGCTTAGGAGTACCCTAATTAAGTTAATAACAATGTACCTACCTATATAGATTAAGTTTAAAAAATTTGGCTCTCAAAAGAAATTTCAATCGTTGTACTGTTGATATTTGGCTCTGTTGACTAATGAGTTTGCCAACCACTGCCCTAAGTAACTATTGAAATATGCGGGGATTTTAAAAAACTTTACTAAATGGACCTCAGTGATTCTTCAAATTTTTTATTCATATGGTTTTAATTTTAATGTCTCCCAAGTTGTTTTCATATGTCAGCTTGCCCTTTGCTTCTATTGTCAGTGTTTATTTATTTACTATTCTCCCTGGTCTTCTTTTCCTTCACTCTTAAGCAATAAGTGTAGGGTGAAGTGAATAATGTGAGACTAGAATCAGGAAGGCAGCTAGGCAAGATATTTGTCAGCAACACAGTAAGCTGTAAGCAAGAGAAAACAGACAAAAGCTACAATATAAGGACTGCTTTTCTCCCACAACAAGTTCAGAGCAGCTGCCATAACGATACTGTCAGGGACCCAGGCCCTTTCAGCCTTTTCTCCCACCGTCCTCGGCAGGTGGACCGCCATCGTCATGTTCTTCCACTCAGAAGAGCAGCAGTGACCCTAGAGCCCTCCAGCAGAGTTCTGCCAACGC